TGGACCAGGCCCCATGGTGTTATTAGTTCATCCTTGGGTTAATTTTTCATCATCTTGTGCCAGGGATTCCGGAAGAAGCAGGATCCCTGCCTTTCCCTCTGCCCTCCCAAGGGATGTTTGTAAGCACTGAGATAATGGATTTTTCCTTGGGTCTCTGCCTCTGGGCTCCACCCCTCTCACTAGGCTCTCTAGGATGCCTCTTAGCCTGCCTTGCAGACTCCCCAAGGGTATGCACACTTTTGTCTCCCTAGAAGGAAAATAGAGTGAGGCTTTTCTAGCCCTCCCCGGGAGAGTTGGGCTCTTGTGCCGAGCAGCCACACGGTGTAGAGCCTAGCACTTGCCCTCTGGGGCCGGCCCCAGTTTCCTCATTAGGGGATCAGTTGGAATCCGAGTCCCCAAGGTCCTTTGAAGCTGGAGCATTCCAAGATCCTCAGGAAAGATACTCGCTTTGAGGGGTGAAAGGGAATCACAGATTCCAGGTGATAAGGCTGCTCTCCTTTCTCTTTGAAGGCAATCCACAAGCATTTATTATGTGCCAGACTGTGCTAGGCCCAAAATAGTCCCAGCCCTCGGGAAGCTTACGTTCTGAACACACAGTAAGCATAAAAAAGTAAACACAAGGTAATCTGGGGAGACTAACAGGTGTAGCTCTGACATCTGTATGACAGGCAAGGAGGTGGATTCCTAGGTGGGGTGTGAGGACGGGCTGCATTCTGGGCCCAGGATACGAAAGTACCAGTAGGACAAACCCAGCTGAAGGAACGAGGCCAGTTTGGCCTAACAAAATCTGCAATGTGAGGGGGAGCCAAAGTTTGCCAACAAGATAGCTTTTGTCAGGACTGTCACTCCCTTAATGAGTAGATTCCAGTGGCTCTCTATTGCCTCTAGTTTACACTGTACAGGATATTTATTTCCTTCCTTAATTCCCATTTCTGTGGTGTACAAAGTTCCTTACACCACCACCTTGGGAGATAAGTACTTCAAAGTTAATGATACACATGTTGTAAATGAAGGCAGAGGCTCTGAACGAGTCCTTGTCCAAAGTCAAAGAGCTGGGATTCAGATCTGTGTCTCCCGACTCCCAGCTGAGAAAGCTGGAGTTACAGACTCCAGCCACCCACCCCAAAGACCAGTCCGTCTTCCGGGTTGAGGAAATGTATGGTTCTCCTGATCAGAAGCTTCCCATGTCTTCCCCTGCCCACAGGGTACAAATTCAAGACCAACCGACCATACCATCCCCGCCCCAAAGCTTTTTCACGCTCACCTGGAATGCCTGCCCCCTCCCCAATCCAAATCCTAAACCCCATCCTTCAGGAAGTGCCTTGGACTTTCCTCAGCACAGTGAGCTCCCCTGTGGACTTCTAAGTTCATTGCTTTGTATTCTCTTCACTAGAAGGGATATTTGCCCCAGTGGCCCAACCCTCCACGCCTGCCTTTGGATTCCTATCATTTAAAGCTCACTTCAAGTGCCACTTTATAAGATTTTCTCTGATCTCCCGGCTCTCTAATGAAGCTTCCCCTTGGATGTCACATAGTTTGCATAGGTCCGTATCTCCAAGGCACTTTATGAAAATAATTTTGTTGATGCTTTTTTTTTTTTCAACATGACTGTCACTTTGCAAGGGCCATCCCTTCCCCCACAGAACCCTCCTTTGTAACAAATAACAACCAAGCAAAAAAGACCAATATATTAGCCAGGTCTGTAAATGTGTGTCTCATTCCATACCTGTAGCCTACCACCTCTTTGCATAGAAATGGAAGACATATTTCACTATCAAGTCCTGAAGCCTTTAAGTATACATTTCTGTGGTCATTATATAAATTCACAAATAGGGCAACTAGGTGGTGCAGTGGATCGTTCCAGCCCTACAGTTAGAAGGACCTGAATTCCAATCTGGTCTCAGATACTAGCCGTGATTCTGGGCAAAGTCATTTCACCTGTTTGCCTCAGTTCCTCATCTATAAAATAGGGATAATAGTACCTACTTTGCAGGGTTGTTGTAAGGATCAAATAATTGTAAAATGCTTAGCACAGTGCCTGGTTCACTATATAAATGTTAGCTATTACTAGACATTAAATAGCTCTTCTGGTTCTGGTTTGCTCTATCTCAGTTCATACAAGTCTTCCCAAGTTTCTCTGAATTCTTTTTTTAAAAAAAACTTACTGATATCTCTTGTTTTTACATGACTTTTATTTGTGCAGTCTCTGAATCTTTCACATTTATCATTTCTTATGGCATAACGTTGGTTCGACTACAGTGAACTAGAATTCTCCATTCTCCAATCAGCGGGCATCCACTTTCATTTCAGCCCTATGCTACTACAACAAAGTGCTCCTACGAATACTTGTGTCTTTCTAGGCCCTTTCCTTCAGCCATTAACCTCCTTGGTTTATATGCCTGGAGCAGTTGAGCTAGTTAGTGGCTTTTCTAGTACAGTTCCAAAATATTTTCCAGAATGGTTGGACCAAGAACACTGCATTAGTGTGTGTGCCTGTCTTCTTGGAAGGTGTTTCCACTTTTCCCAACAGACTAAGATCCATGAGGGAACAT